GATTCAGGACATTCCACCGGTGTCCTTGGTGACTCCTAAACATAGCCTCTGTCTCCACGACAACCACAGGACATACCATTTATCCTTTTTTTTCACCCATACACCATTATTTCCACCAGCAGGTCATTGACTCTGTTACTCTGTTTTGTGGTTTCCCACAGACTTCCTAATAACAAAAATTTGTATGAAAATACAGGTGCCATGGTGCATTTCACTAAAGCAATTTTTATTATATAGCAGTTATTTGGTCCCATTGTGATATTAATCTCTTTTACAAGAGAGATCTGGCCAAGATATTAATCAAATTCAGGCAGAAGAAAGCATAAATAAATAAAACCTTAGAAAAAAAACATTAGAAAGCACACATTTACTATGTGATCATTTCTTTCTCTTTCTTGTTTTACAGATGAGGTTTCAGTAGTCTGCACACTTACTGAGTATTGGCTGGCAGAGATTCTGCCCATGCAGAGACAGCAGAGGACATGACGCCCCCAGATTCAGCGCCTGAGAGGAAAATGACTGAATAACCAGCAGGTCCCTGATTGTAATATCTCATTATGAAAGAGATCTTCAGTCATGCTGTTTTATAGTCAAGGATTTCAAGAAACTCGGGATCAATCAGCTTCAGCAACAATTCGGATTCCTTTTGAAGACCCAGAATCATGTACTTTAGTTTATCCTGCCTTCACATTAATAATTACTTAGGAAAAATATATTTTTACACATTCTCTGCTGCTCGTTCTTTCTTCACACTGCACCAGTACACTCCCAGAGACGTATATTACTGCAAGACAAACACTAAAGTATTATTATTGACCGTGACTCTGGATCAACGGTCTTCCTCAGCTCATTATGAGGAGTCTGTGGTTTAGCCTCTTAGTGGTTAATTATCTTAACATCAGAATGTCAGTAGCTCCTCGCTGATCTCACAGCCTGTTTGGATCATGACATTTAAGCTTTTACGCACTAGACTGCTCGTTAACATCATTTACCCAAACCAGTGCCTGATTTACATTTTCTTTTTCGATTCAATGAGCTACTTTGGGCCATCAATGTGACAAGCCACTATGACCATCAGTGTGACTAGAAAAATGTCTATAAAGATATTTATTAAAGTTTTAATTCCATTTGTGAAAGAAAAACAGATGTGTGCTTGTTTTCAGTGATTGTTTGATATACCTACCTGCAGTGCACTACATACTATGATCCATTTAAACTGATTCGATGGCTTATCCATGACGTCAAGGAAGAATGACTTTAGCTATACAAGCGTCTCTAGACTGCAACATGTGTGTTTGTGCTAATCAAGGCAACCCACAGCATAGACTTGCCATTATAGGATCACATGCATCTGGGTTGGTGCAGACAGAATAATTTTTTATTGCGTCCCATTATGTTACAGTGTTGTGAAATAATAGCCCTGCCATTTCTCTCAGAAATATTTCCTTACACCAGCTGGAATATGGTGTGGAGGACACAGCAGGTGTGATGATGGTATTATACAGTAGCAGCTGAAAATAACAAAATAAAATAGCTAATCATCTTGTTTTAGCAGTAGACGCAGCATATCATCAGATTAAAGGCTCACTGCAGCTTTAATATCACAGTTTATTGTTTTACAGTTTATGGATCAGGACTGAATATCCACTCAGAAGATGAGAGGCAATCCTGCAAAGAGGTGGAGCGAATATCTGCCAGTCAGAAGTGCTCGGAAAAGCAATTTAATTTAAACATACTAAATGATCTGCCACTGAGTGAGGCCTATTTATTTAACAGGTCCTCATACAACACAAGATTTGTCAGTCCCCAGTGAGGCCCTGAGACAGATAAAACATTGTGCGGTTAAAGGGTATATAGTACTGTGTTGGGAAAGACAATATTCTGCTGTCCCCTGTTTATTATGTTCTCTACCCTGAGGCAAAACTCCAGACAGGTTCATTTTAAAGTGTAGCAACAAACAGATATTTAACTAGGTGAGACAAAATGGTGGCAGAAACATCTACGTTATACTGTTTTTGTTTCTAGGATCTTCACTAGCATCCATAAGCCTAGGGTCAGAAAAAAATATCCCTTTCCATTGCATTTATTGCATTACATTAATGTTTGAGCTACAGTAAAGCCTCTTGTATAAATAAAAATATATTAAGCATCACAACTGTTATCAACATTGATAATAATTAATGTTTCTTGAGCACCAAATCAGCATACTGGAATGATTTCTGAAGAATCATGTGACACTGAAAATTGAGCACTCATCACAGGAATAAATTAAATTTTAAAACATATTCAAATAAATATATTCAAAATTATACTTTTTTTTTATTTAGTATTATTTTGTTTTTGTTCTGATAACTGGGTCACCTCTGACCTGTGTGACTAGGCTTTATAGCCCTTTCCGGCTTTACACATGCCAGGCTATACAAGGATGTCGTCCTTCACAACAACTTAACCCTGCATCCCTCACAGTTGCCACTGTCGTCATAACTAGCATGTCCAACAAGTGCATGCTAGCCTCATTTTGGTAATCTCATTGAGACAGAGACAGACAGACGGGGCCTCTCTCTCTATATAAGCTCTGATCAGAGCAAGACAGTGATAGACGTGCAGTCCAACCGGAGTGAGCTCTATCCTCTGAGAAGCCTCCTTCTTTCAGAAGGAGAGAAACAAGGAACCAGAGGAAGAAGTCCTGCTCACAAACAAAGCTTCGAGGCCTAGGGACTAAATTGATGTTTTTTGGTCTCCACGTCCTACTTTAGGACACATCCGCTACTTGCAGGTGAGTAAAAGAATCTTATGAATTAAAAAAAAAACTGCAGAAACATCCAGATAAACTGAAAGAATCATCTGCAGATGTTTATAGTTTTGTATATGTATGTGTATTTACACCTAAATTGGGGCAGAACTGCAGGGCTAAACTCATAAAGCTTACTGGATGTTGATGTAGTAGTGAATAATCTTTTTGTTCTATAATTCAAGAATTTTTACAACGTTCCACATGGTCAGATTTCAATCGCTATTATCTCAAATTAGGCCTTTAATTGGCCATTATTACATTAGAAAACTGTTGTAATTACAATCCATTTTAAGTTGTTACAGAATTATCATCATGATTTACTTTAGTGAGTTCTTTAATTATTTAACCATTTAATATTTCACAGCCAAACTAAATGAGTCATCAGTCAGACAGGTTAAGGTGTTTCTAATTGAACGTGACCTGAAGGTTAATGTTTGTCAGTTCATCATACAATATAACCATTGATTTCCACTCTCTTTCAGATGTCCGCCGTACAGACTGTGACCCAAAGAGCTCACAATCTCGTAGTGCCACAGGTGGCTGTTTTTCTGGGTGCATTGGGAATTGCGATGTCTGGATACAGCTCTCGCCAACTCGCTGTTCACCACCGTCCCTCCACACGCATCCTGCACTGGATGTCCAAACCTGCCATTAATGTCGATAGCCCCGGTTCCCCAGGTCGAGCCTGTCTGGCTTCAGCCAATACTTCAATGGCATCCATCAAAAAAGATGAACAGGATCAAAAAATCAAAAGCACAGGTGACACCGAGCAACCTGTGAAGGCATCACCTGACATATGAAAACAAAACAAAAAAAAACCTTCAGCCACACAAGGGACTTGTGAGGTCTTGTGTAAGATGGAGCATAGTCAGTAATTTAGTCTGTAGTTATTTGGAAAGTGCCTTTGTACAAGAAAGCCAGTTTGCCCTGATTAGATTGTGTGTATTTATGAGGTTGGCCGAAGTTGCACAAATGATTCAGCAGATATGTGATAAGGACCAACTGTCGGTTTGCTGATGAGTAATACATTAAGTTGACATCCTTGTAAAAAATCCTTGTTTTTTTTTTAAATATGTCTAAATATACAGGCATATTGGTTTGATGATGTCATGCTTGGGCGCTGACACTGGTGGAGTGATATTCTGAAATCCACTGAATTTTAATATGCTGAATCAAGCCCACACACCAAGCATAATTTGCACGTCAGTCAATGGCGTCCTAATGACTGGCTCTTTACTTAGAAATGTATTTACAGTCACAATAACACCCACTGTGACAGGCATGTTTCCTAAGCTAAACCACTTCCTGAAGATTAGTTTGCTAAATTTATTGACTAGGGCTTGTTAATGAGATGTAAACATACAGGTAGGCTGTGAATGAGTCAGGAGCTGATTTATTGGCTTGGTTTTCAGGTTTTACAGAGAGAATATGGTGTGTTTAAAAACAATACTGTATACAGCACACAGAATGCAACTACATGCAGATATTTGGGATGCTTGTTCTGCTATGTTTTGTATTATGTATAATCTTTTTAAATGCTTATTTTAGCTGTTTTATATGGCTACAGTATTACAGCCCTAATAGCAGTGTCTATCTTATAAACAATACAAAAAAAATGTAGCTGTGTGTGGATTTACAAGTTATGCAAATAAAAATAAATATAAAAATAATTTGTCTTAGCCTTTTTTAAAGTCTTTTAGTTTCATGGTGTATGTTTTTTATTGCGGTAAAAATCACTTAAGTTTATTGCATTGCAGTCATTTAGGTCAGATAAACTAAAGGCTAAATAACATTATCTTAAACGTCTGTTTCTCCTCAAGGTAAACCTTTAAATTAGGATTAGGGTCAGCATCAGGTCAGAAGTTAAGGTTAAGGTGAACTGACAGGCTGTCTATAGAGTTCGTTAAGCTTTATAAATGAACACAAACCCTTAATAATGATGATGTTTATGAGAAGAATGTATTCACACGTGACTCCTGATGGAAAGAAACTCAGTCATTTGATTTTAAGGGTGTTTGTCGCTCCTTCAAAAGTTGAGGACAGTAAGATAATTTGAATGAAGCTTTAGATCTAGTTCACGCCGTCTCCAGTAGTAGACTACTCCTCAGTCCTCATGAGGGGGCAAAAGGACAGTTTTTAACCGGGCTTCATACCCACATCCTGCAGTCTGCTCATGCTCTTGCTCTGCTCTCGTCCCGTAAAGCGGTGCGACTCCACCAGCGACAAACATGTAAAACTTGGAAGTCAGTCCCGGTGAATACAAGACCTTCGATTAGGTGTGTAAGCAACAAAACTATCCATTATTATTGTTTTCGCTATTGTATAGGTATATATATATATATATTAGTCATTTGTATAAGAATTATATGCGGTAATTTTTCTCCTATATTGTAATGCTGTCTGTTCGTGTAATCTTGTTAATTGCTTGTTTTTATTATATTGCTTAAAAGTTGTTTTGTTGTTATTACGACTTCATTAACTTATTAAAAGTTGCTGGTTCATTAAAGTGATGTTATAAGTGATAGGCTATTAATTGATATTAGCTATAAAGTAGGAGAGGCTGGAAATTAAGTGTTGTAACGGCTATAAGTAAGTTTTAACCAATTAGAAATTAGGGGAAAAGGAAGTGGTTAATTATTGTTTTAATCCTGATCTGTTCTATTAGATTACAACAGTAGCCTATTAATTCATTAAACTGATTAGACTACAAACATATTTTTACAGACTACAGCAATAAAAAACCAATTACGTTATTAAAACTGTTAGTAGTATTATCAATATTAATAACAGTATTGCTTAAAATCGTCATGCTAGTTCTGTTGGGATCAAAATGGTAGCAAATTTAATTCCATGTTTGTTTTGTTTCTCTACGTTTAAAATCCTATACATTGTTCACTTTAGACTGAGTGGCTATAAAAAGTTATTATGCAAACAATACAATTTACTTTACCTGTTGAACATACAGTGATGTAATGTCATTATTGTTGGGTGCTGTTCTTTAGAGACCAATCAAATGGTGCCATTTATCAGTTGTCTTGATATTATGACGACCAGTAAAAACTGTGAATATTAATGAGTCAAAGGGATTATCAGTCTGTCTCTTCCCTACAAGACCCAATTTTATATTCTATATATTATTGATTTTGAATTGACATATAGAATATAATTTTACAACACTCCCTCCCTGGTCTCTCACAGCAGCGTAAATTTAGCACTGTCCATGGGCTTTTGCATTTTCATGGAGTTTACCACAAACCTCATTCAAATTTCCCTGCCATTGGTGCAGAGCTTTCTGAATATCTCTGAACTCAGTATGGGCAGAGATACTAATACAAAATCTTTTTATATATATCTTTAGAGTTATTGATATGTAGATTTGGAAACACAACTCTGTTATTTGGATACTGGATCAAGAGTTGGACATAGACCATGTGTGTGAATAAACTATGTGTATGATTTTCTTTGACTCATCCTCTAGAGTGAAACAAGCTGTTGGTAACATGGGGAATAACTCTGGAAAAGAACGACATGGGTCTTCAGGTAACTTACTCTTGACAACAAGTACACACACACACACACACACACATTATGTGTTTTATTGAGATACCTCCAAGGTGCAGGGACATACAAAATAATTTTTCAAAAGATAAAAAATATCAACAGAGACAGAGAGATATATAAACATGAAAAATAAGGAGAGAAAATAGTGCTGTGTGAAGCAGGTATGTGAATGTTGAATATTGAAAAAGAAAGAACTGCAGGAGAGTTATTAAATGTAAGAGAGCGAGAGAGAGAGAGAGTCATTATTGGAATACTGTATTGTACATTCTTCCCTGTTATTGGTGGTGTCCAGAGCCCTCAGACTCACTGACTCAGCAAACCTTTCCCACCAAGAGAGACGACAAAGACTTCTTAATGAAGAACACCCACCCACACACACACACTCACACTCACACACATTCAATCAAATCTGTTCCTGTTGGTTCATATTCAAAAAAAGCAAATAGTGAAACCTGCCTTTTATTTTTAGAAAACGTTTTTTCTTAAATTATTAGTTCAACCAAAATTATTCATTTACTCATTCTAAACTCGTATAATTAACTTTTGTACATGGTGCAAGTGTCATAAATTTAGTTCTTATGAAGCTATACAATAGCATTGTGTAAAGAACAGACAAAATTTTAAGTTGTTTTGTTGCCAAAATTTACCAATGGAGTAAATTTAGGAAAGTAGTGTTGATAGTAGTGTCATCTATCCAGATAAAGAGACAAAAAAAATCTGTATTAGATTTCATTTGGTAGTCACATAATTCTGTACCCAGACAGTGTCTTCTTGTCCCCTGAAACCATTCATATATTAACCACATTCTGAACATCCCATGAATAACAGAAATAACGTTTCATTTCTATGATCTACGCACAGAAGTTATCATGTCAGGAAATGTTTTATTTTAAGAGACATCTGTCCGTTCTGAGAGCTCAACCTCTGTCTCTCTATAGGCACTGCTGCGGAAATGTATGAAACACCTCCCGCCTCGCCGTATAGTGTTGTTACTACCTGCTCACCAACCACACAATTGGTGTCCATTTCCAAATGTACAAGCACAGCCACCCCTGAATCAGCTCAAGACGCTCTGAGCTCCACCAATCAGAATGTTGAGCCATTGTTGGACTGCAGGACAGGGCCTGCAAAGGAGGCTGAGGAGGGACTTAAGATGACAGAATCACCTGGGCAGGTGTCTTATCTCTCAGATGTGTGTATGAATGGAGACACAGAAGTGGACGCAAAACTTCTACAGGAGTGTTTGAACACACTGCAGCTTAACAACATTGAAGAATCCACGCACATATTAAATGGTGAGTTACACAGTCATGCTATGTCCATTCATTCATTAATTGAAGCATGCACATATTTACATGAACTACATATACTCTTAAACATGTTGAATAAGTGTTCTACACATAATAACTTTCTCAATGTATTACTGTACATGCATTCGCGGGTCTCGACTAGTGTCGCTGGTCTGTTCTGATCATGGACAGCAGTAAGGAAAACATGCACATGCAAATAATAAAATGCAGTTAACCAAATAAGCATGCATATTTATATTTGGCTTGTCTTTTGTTGTTGAAATCGCTTCGCAGAAGATTTAGACGTTTTCGAAAACCTTGAACAAACTGTGGACGGTAAAAGGAAATACAACCCAGAGTACATCAAATATTACTTATTTACTTTATTTTTTATAGTTGGGTTGCCACTTGATATCCAATATTAAATCTGGGCCCTGAAGAATAACCTCTTGAAAACCACTAATACCTTTATAGATTTTTATTCACAGCTGTTGTTTACATAGTGTTTATTAAACAATTGTATCACTTTGATCATATTCCTGTTGCTGTGGGTTTATAAAGGCAATAAACCATTTGAGGTCATGCATTGCAATGGTTTTATTACTGTTGTAAACTTCAAGGCTCACAATATTACAGCAATCAATGTATTGCATTTATGGCAAATAACATCACAAAACCCATAGTGGCCCTGCTGAAAAAAACAATAGAAACCATCACAGAAATTCTAATGGTTTCCACTACAAATGCCATTACAAACATTACAAACAGGGATTGAAATTAACTTTTTTACTCACCAGCCAATTTGGCTACTACATTTTTAAGTTACCGGCCATTCATAACTTCTACTAGCCAAAAAAAAAAAAAAAGAGACAGAAATAAACCAACAGTTTGGAGCTGTCTACACTGGGCGTGACAAAGCGACTGTTACAAATCATTTTGTCAGTACTAGGGGTGTGCAATATTGACAAAAAATAATATCTCAATATTTTCTGGGATTTTATCAATAAAGAT